AAAAAAAAAAAAAAAAAAAAAAACCTCAGCAAAGTAGTAGGAGGAAACCTCCTCAACTATATTTTAAAATTTATAGAAAATGACTGCTAACATCGTACTGAAAAGTGACTAATAAAGGAGAAGCACAAGGCTTTGTGGTGGTGGGAGCAATCTGTACCTTGACTGTGGTGACAACTTCAAGAATCTACAAATGTAATAGAATGGCATGAAACTGCACCCACACTGTACCAACATCAAATCCTGACTCTGGGATGGTTAGTTACTACTGAAGATGTAGCCACTGGAGAAAACTCAGTGAAGAGAACGTGAAACCTTTCTGGAACTTCCATTATATATATTCACTTTCTATGAGACTATTCAAAATTAAACATTTTTAAAGACTGCTTTATGTAATTCTCTTCTAGATGAGCTGAGACTGAAAACTTGATTTTAAGCAGGATAAGTAATAAATCTTTAGCTGTATTTAATTTGGATGAAAGCAAAGATGCTCTTTACATTTTAAAGAGCTTTTCACCAACAAAGCAATGCACAGGTTTATTCCAAATTTTGCATTAATAAGTATCCGAATTTTGAGAACTAGAGAAAACAAAAGAACAATGAACCTTTTTTAAACATGTTAATAATTAGAAGAAAAAAAAAAGCCTTATGTACTATAGTTACAATGCCTGCCTGCATATCATCTACACTGGGGGAAAAACATGTCTTACCATAATTAAATTGACTGTTGGACTTTTCACAGTTAATGATGTTAAACCTGTAAGCAACACCTGGTCGCATTCCACTGACTTCAAAGTAAAACCACTGATGATAATGATTGCTATTTATATCTGAGTTCAGAATAAGATCATATTCATTTCTGAAAATAGAAAATAAAGAAATCTGATGAAAATTAGGGAAATATCTGTGTACAGACAAAGTGAGAACATTTTAAATGACTTACTTTCTAATTTGAATTACTTTGCGCAGATTCCCAGATTCAAATTTGGAGTTAAACTTCAAAATATCTCCTTCTTCTGGAATAGTGTAACTAAATAAAAGTATTCAAGTAAGTATTATAAAATACACTGCAATTAAATAGGTAAACAAAAAATTTAAAATAAAACTACACTACAAATTAAAAATATACCACTATTGCCACGTCCCCCCTTCTTTATTTTTAAACCAAAGAATGTAACGAACACAAGCAAAACACAAACTCTGGTTAACATTTATAGACTTAAAAATTACAATTACAAGTAGAGACTGAATATTAATCACAAATAAGAAATTCTGCCCCACTAAATAAACGTCATTCCTAAATACCAATAATCAAATAAAAAGACTAGACGTATCTTTAAAAAGGCATGTGACCAGTACTGAGTAGCAATAATTCTAATTAAACTATGCAGTTCTCAGATTAAATTTGCAGAGCTATATTAGATATAGATACTAGCTTATTTAATTAGTGCCAGGAAGGTGAAAGTACTGTCTTCACTTTACATATTCACTACTTTAGTATTTACTGAATGCCTACTAGGTACCAGATTCGGTTTTAGTTGTCTGTCTGTGTCTCTGATTAAATACAAATTTTTGCCCTTCTGGAGCTTACATTCTAACAGAGGGAAACTCAGACTTTAGGAAGCTCAATGATTTTGTCCAAAGTCATTTCAATTAGAAATAGCAATGGTATGTATGCCACGCTCAGGGTTCCTGAGTTTCTGTTTTCACCACATCTGCCTGATCTGACACCAAATTATAAATATTGAAATAACTAAGACATTTTGAATAAGGTAGATTTGGTTTTCATTTTTAAAAGTATTATTTCAAATTCAGTCATTAGCTTTGACATAATTTTTACCCTTATTTCTTTACCTTTAAAGATAATGATCTTTAAAAAGTGTTTTATTTCCTCCAAAAAGACCAGTAAGATCTGATATGTCCATCAGAATATTAGAATGTTGAGAGATGGGGAAACCCACTGAGGGCTCATTACATTTCTTGTATAAAGAGGCATATGACTAAATAATAGTCACATTCATCGTTTCTAATGTTCACTTATTTAAACCCTAAAATGTGCTGATAACAGTGATAACCCTAAATTGTGAATAACATTAACGCATCAAGCATCATAAACACATGGCTTCAAAGATCAGGAAAGTAATATAAAGGACTGATGCACATTGTAAGCAGTAAGAGGCGACAAAGCCTAGTGGGGACTATGGAGAAATTAGCAAGCACATGTCCCTTCTTTTTTTTAAAACGGATGGTAATTTGTTGTCCTAAGGAAACGAAGGCTCAATATTGTCAATAGGACAAAATTGCAGCATTTCATGTGACACTTCCACTCTCTAAAATGGAGGTAATTTCACATTTTTTAAAAACACAGCATCAGTTTGTGACCTTTTCCTTATCGAACCCATTAAGTCCACCTAAGAACAAACAAAAGCCTGTGATACATTCAATTTAATATGATTTACTATTACATTACCATTATGTCCCTGCTAAAAGATGAAAACATAGCAAGGGCAAACTAGGTGGAAGTTAGCTATATTTTTTTATTTTTAAAAATAACACTGAAATTTTAGAGTATTAATAAAACTAATAAAACTAAAAACAACAACACACTTACTTTGGGTTATCCAAGTCATATACCACTCGATCTATGATATCACTCTGATGTATTAACCTCTCAATATCTTGGGCAATTTTTGTCCTGAAATCACAAAAGAGAAGCATGACCACCAAAATTCATTATTATAGGCCAAGGCACAACTTCCTCCAAAATAAGTTTGGGATGGAAAAGTGTAAAAGGAGAACACTTTCTTAAAATAAAAATGATCATTCATATCAATATGTCGCAAGACAGTATCTGTATTATTAAAGCCCGAATTCTGAAAATAACCATGTAGAATACAGTTACCAGTTCAACACCTTAAAAATAAATTTTAAGGGGTGTCCAGGTGGCTGAGACAGTTAGCACCTGACTCTTGGTTTCGGCTCAGGTTACGATCTCACAGTTTCATGGGTTTGAGACCCACACTGGGCTCTGCACTGGCAGTGCTTGGGATTTTCTCTCTCTCTGACCCTCCCCAATTCGAGCTGTCTCTGTCTCTCTCAAAATAAATAAATAAACTTTATTTAAAAAAATCTTGAATGTCTTATTTATGACTTTCCACATCGAAATGGTAACAAGCCACTCTGTAGCCGAAAAGCAAATAATTTTACATATATAAGAACAGCATTATTAGAAGCAGTAAAGATCCAAAAAGCCAAAAATTATATATGAAGATTCTTAAAAGCCACCATTGCTGGAATGTTGCTAAAATGCAACTGGCAACCAGCATGCACATTTGTCAGAATCAGTGCTCTCTTCTGTGAATGGAGAGGAAATGTGGAGGAGAAGGGGACACCTGTGTCAGGAGGCAGAGCATGGACCCTGCATCTCCAGGATTCTCTAGGCCTGAGAATTCTCTAGGCCTCCCCCTGAATCAGTCCAATGAAATGGTCACCAACTGGGAAATTCCTAGAATCCTGCCACTATCCTAGAAAAAGGAGTCACAGACAGATTCCACCATCTTCCCTGTCCATAATTAAGCCACGGAAGGCAACAATCACTGAAGGTGTCACCAAGGGTAAGCAAACCAGAACAAATGTAGGTCATACAGCCTACATACATACATCTACCTGGAACTGCAGGTAGACTGGCCACAAAGCTCATACTGGGAAGATGCCTACTGCTGTTATAGTCATAGTCAAGTGATAACTTGTCATATTATCACTTATTCTTTATTCTCTAACAATATCAGTATAACTGACTTCAGAATAAGCTAAGAACCTATTCTGATAAAAAGCTAATAGTTATCAGGAAAACATTAAAAGGTGTGATAGTTAAATACAGAAAAAAAATTAAAGAGGTACAACTCTAAATTTATTTTTAGTTTTATTCTACAAAAAATATCTCTTCACTGACAAGCAGTCTATCAAGAAAAAGACCCAGTATCAAAGGATTAAGATATAAATCTTTGATTTACATTCAATGTCATAACTTTCAAATGCCAAATTCTTTCTAAAGAAACATTTTTAAAAAGCTATTAATTGCAATAATAAACAAGTCCAAAATTTATATTGCCCAGACCTTTGACAATAAAAGAGGTAGCACTCACATACATTCAGATATACCATACTAAAAAAAAAAAAAATGTGAGTATTCAAGTATGGGTGAATGACTAAATAAATCCTAATTATATCCATTTGTTAGAATATATCCATTTGTCAGAATAATTTATTAAATAAGGCTGAAACATACCACAAATGTGCAAATACAAATACTTACAAAAGTCTGGGGTTTTTGTTTTTAAAGGAAAATGGTATTAACAGGCTGATACAACACCTCAGTTCCACAGCAATGCTCCATAATATAAAACAGGGTCAGAACAGCACAGACAGCCACGGGTCAGCCATGTGTACCCGTGAGATGGATAGATAGTGTGTGGAACACTGCAGGGCCCAGGCTCTGTCTGAAAACAAACTGACTGATGCCAGGTAGGAACCAGATACTAAGGTTGTTATACCAGTTTTTCAAGAAACATCAGAAACTTGGATTTCTATGAGGAATCTCCCAAATTTTAAATGCAAAATCAGTAAAAACAAAACAAACAAAGTCTGCAAAGTGAAGCCAAAATCATGTTCAAGTTAATATGGCCTACGGGCCACTCGTTCTCAACTTCTGACACTGTATTTTAGGGTACATAGTGGCCCATGTATATTAGACTAGACCTAAAATTAACACTTTAGGAAATTACCTGCCCTTCCAGGAGCCCCCATTAATAAAGAGGAAGGTCAATCTTTTATTCAGACATGGATCTGGGTGAAGCACCACAACTTCCATAAAAAGAATGTCAATCCTTCCTCCCTTTCCCTCACCGGCCTATTAAAATACATGGCTCTCCAGTCAAAACAAAACAGTAAATATTTTCCAGATACCCTCGGGGACTATAATCTCAAATTTACTGACCTCCAATAGCTAGCAAAGACTTGGCCCAGAAGACAATAATGTATGCAGTCTGAACAATGTCCAGTGCATTCAGTCCAGTAAATGCTCTAAAGTTCGCAGGACATGCGGCCACCAGTGAAACTTTCCTTTGTTAGTTAGGTTTCCACCAGTACAGGGCAGTCTTACAGGAAATAATTTCATACATCTCACAGCTATATTTTCTGTACGAATATTATGGGCAATGTTGTTCATTACATAACTATTCCCGAGGGTCCACAGAAGATGATCTTCTTTATAGAGAACATGGTTTAACCATACGTACATGATAACTATATATAAATGATTAACAGGGTAGGCTCATGACCTAGACCAGAGTTTGACTCTTGGCTCTGCCACTTACTAGCAGTGTAACCTTGGATAAGTTAACTCAAGAATCCTAAGCTTCAGCATAGTCTTCTGTAAAATAAGAGAAAGAATAGTAATTTCCTCATAGAGCTATTATACCATGAAATGGCACACTCTATATACACATATACATTGCATACGAAGTACTTGTTACTTAGTACTATGCCTGGCCTAAAAAAAAAACACTCAATATAAGTTATCTGCTGCTGTGCCAGTACTAAGATTTCTGCTACTGTCTCCATTCCATAGGTACTTATGTTCCCCCAAGCCATTCTAAACTTAATATAAAGAAATCCAGGGGTTTGCTTTCCTTATTTTGCTTTTGCCACAATTCTTTCGCCTACTTTTCAATTTTAAATTTCTGAACAGGTAATATATTGACATGGAGCAAAACTCATATGCTACATAAAAGTATAAAAGTATCTCACTTTCTATACAAGCCGTATCCTCCACCCATCCAGTTAACTACTTTTATTGCTCTCCCTCCACTAGCATCTTATAGCTTTTTCCATCAGTATATACAGATCTTTTTGTTTTTTTAATCACTGCATAGTATTCATAGGTAAGATATACCATAATTTATTTAACTAGTTTGATTGGTGGGCACAATGCCATAACAAAAAACTTTGAACACCATTTCACAGATATGCAAATTATGTGAGTGTGAGTGTGTGTGTGTGTGTGTGTGTGTATAATGTATATAAATTATAAATTCCCAGATGCAGGATTAACGTGTCAAAGGAAATAAGTACTGTTAATCTTGATAGACACTGTCAGGCTGCCCTACACAAGAGGTACTATCAATTTGCAATCCCATTATTAATGTATAAGAAAACCTGTTTTTGGGGATGCAAACTGGTGCAGCCACTCTGGAAAACAGTATGGAAGTTCCTCAAAAATTAAAAATAGAACTACCCTACGACCCAGCAATTGCCCTACTAGGTATTTATCCAAGGGATACAGGTATAGTGTTTCGAAGGGGCACATGCACCCCCCATGTTTATAGCAGCACTATCAACAATAGCCAAAATATGGAAAGAGCCCAAATGTCCATCGATGGATGAATGGATAAAGAAGATGTTGTATATATATACAACGAAGTACTACTAGGCAATCAAAAAGAATGAAATCTTGCCATTTGCAACTATGTGGATGGACCTACGGGGTATTATGTTAAGCAAAATTAGAGAAAGACAAATGTCATATGACTTCACTCATATGAGGACTTTAAGATAAAAACAGATGAATGTAAGGGAAGGGCAGCAAAAATAATGTAAAAACAGGGAGGGAGACAAAACAGAAGAGACTCTTAAATATGGAGAACAAACAGGGTTACTGGAGGGGTTGTCGGGGGGGGGGGATGGGCTAAATGGGTAAGGGGCATTAAGGAATCTACTCCTGAAATCATTATTGCACTACATGCTAACTAACTTGGATATTAATTTTAAAAAATAGTAAGAAATATGTGGTAGGGATGGATAAAATGCAATCAGAATTTGGTATGACATATTTAACCAGAATGACTAATATAATGTAAAAAAAAATCTTACTTTATAAAATTAATATTTACCAAGGTTGAATTGAGAACAAATCATGTTTTAGAAAGTAAGCATTTAAGGCAATATGTGCATTTACTACATGTTCATTAAAGTTTTAATTCATATTTATGTTAGAGAATTTGATGAACTTACTGAAAAACAAGATATAAAATTGCTACTTTACTGGCCATAATTAGCCAAGAATGGAATTGGTTTAAAAATCCTATTCACAATAACAGAAATCCATAAAATTACTTAGGAATAAAATTCACAAAAATAGATGAGTTAAGTAAAACTACTAAAATACTTAAAATATAATAAAATCTAGAACAGAAGGAACAATTAATATTCCTAGAGATAATATTAAAAGAAAATTTATTGCAAATTGCAGTATATTACTATACATTAACAAAATACAAAATGTTAGGATAAAAAATAGTATTTATTTGTTATGTCAGAATAAATTTTCAGAACTGAAGATATTCTTTGGAAATAGTAATTGAACTTGAGAAATATTTTGCATTGTGCAGAATGGATTTTTATAGTGTACAGCCCAGCAATTCCATTTTGATATGCAAATAAATTTTCATTGAAGGAACTATGAAACATGAAAGATCATTTAAAACATAAGATTTTTTTTTCTGAAAGCAATATATTAGAAACAAACTATGTTCATCAGCAACAAAATGAATAAATTGTGAGTATACTCATACAATACTATGTATTGATTACCATGATGAACATCATAAAGCTGCTATTGACTGATGAAAAGTTTCC